TTCATGGTTGGTCAGGAAGCCGGCTCGATGCTGATTGGCTGGGCAGCCGGTTTCCTGGCCAATCACAGTCGAGCCGGCCAAACAACATGGAGCCGGCTTCCTGATTTCCCTGGCGGCCGGCTCCGTGCCAGCGGCAGCACTGGTATCGGTGCTCTGTATCGGCAAAATATCGGTACTCGATACCGTAAAACTGGCATCCTTACTGTCCTAGCGGAGAGGTGAGCAGTCACTGCCGCAGGACCAAGGATCACGTGAGTATATCTTCTTTTAGGGCCCGGTCACACCATCAAGAGTGCGTTCCAGTGCGTTTGGCCACTGGAACGCAACCCTGCTGGCTCACTTTGTTTTGGGACGGTGGGGGCTCAATGGCACCGCATTCACACCCCCCTTGCCTGCGGTGCAATCGCCGGCACCCGAACGCATGGCACATTTTGACATATCAAAAGGGGGGATGGGGGGAGCGCCAACAGTGAAAGATTTAGGCCTGGTTCCCACCTGGGCGTTTTGTAGCGCGTTCGAACGCTCTGCAAAACGCTCAAACACCGAAATCCCATTATTTCCTATGGGTACGGTTCACACCTGGGCGTATTACAGGCCGTATGAACGCGCTACAAAACGCCCTACGCCCAAAGAAGTACAGGAGCTTCTTTGGGGCGTTTTTGTCGCGCGTTTCCATTGGGATACAGCCAAGTAGCCCTCGGAAACGTGCGTTTGTTGCGCGTTTTTTAACCGCGAATCTCGGTAAAAACATGCGTCACGAAACACGCGACAAACGCGCCTATTCGATACGCCTAGGTGTGAACCCAGCCTTAGGCTTTACAATCTTAAAGGGCAATTCCACTTACCCAGGCGAAATGGAATTACCCCAACCCCTGCTGCTCTTACCGGTCAACGATCGCTCCTTCCCCCTCCGTGGCTGCTGGTGTAATATCCATACTCCATACTTGGGATTACAGCCCTGCAGTATGTATTGAGATTTTGAACTTATTGGCCAGCTTGGTACTCCCTCACTGCAAGGGTGGAGTGCTCTTCTTTTTTTTTGGTCTAGGGAGCTGAGATAAATCGGGATGCACCGATTCTAGTATCGGTATTGGTGCTGATATCAAGTATACTCGTACTCGCCCAAATGCTCCGATACCTTCCCCGATACCGGGACTTCTGGTCAGAGGAAGATTTCCTCTGACCAGTGCCTTAGGGGAACATAGAGCTGGCTTCCCGGCCAATCACAATCAAGACGGCCAAACATGGACCTGGCTTCCCGGGCAATCGGGAAGCTAGAAAATGGGTCATTACGCGCCGCCAGGCTTCCTGATTGCCCGCGAAGCTGGCTCCATGCCAGCGGAAGCACCAGTATCGGTACTCGTAACCGAAAAACCGGTATCTGTTTATCTTTAGGGATGCACAGAGTTGTACTCGCCCAAACCGCGACCCCCGGCTTGCTTGTAGACTGGTCCCTCCAGCCTTGCTCCCTCTCCGCTGCAGCGCTCTAAGGTCCATGAGTGATCACGTTCTATACAGGGACATCCCATCGATGGAGCAGAGGAGCCGGCTGGAGGGAATGGTGCAGGAACCAGCCGGGATCGCAGTTCGAGCGAGTATAACTTTTTATTTTGGCTCCCTATACAAAATAAACGCTTGCCCCTTGCGGTGTGGGGGGCGGCCCCTTGCGGTGTGGGGGGCGGCCCCTTGCGGTGTGGGGGACAGCCCCACTGCAAGGGTTTAGATTTCATTTGCCCAGAGGTCAACTTTAAAGGAGAACTATGAGATGAGTGATTTCCACTCACCTCATAGTTCTAGCCGACCTGTGACAATGAGACTGTCACAGGTCGGCTCAGTAGATCGGGAGGTGAGCGAACACATACCGGGGCGTTCGCTCACCTCTCGATCCTGTCACGGCTCTCTGCCGTGACAGGGGAGGGGCTGGATTCCCCTCTCCCCGCTCCGATCTGCCAGCGCTGACTGGCGGAACGGACGGGGGAGGGGGCGGGTACAGCTGGCTCTGCCTCTAGATAGGCAGAGCCAGCTGTCACTCACGCAGCTGGGCGCATCCCGACGTCTAAGTAGGGATCCGCTCTGGCTGCGGCGTCTCAGTATATAGGGAGCTGTAGCTCGCGGTATACTGAGCTTGGTGTAACGGGAGGACGCCAGTTTGTGTCCTCCCGTTACCCTAAGGAGAACTATGGGGAAAAACACTGACCCCCATAGTTCTCCTTTTAAAATGTTACTGTACGACGATGTGACTGTTTAACCAGCAGTGGGAGCCAGTGTCTATGGAGTGCACACAGCCCGGTTCCTCTGTTGGGGTCACTGGTCTGGCAGTGGAAGGATCTTGTGGTGAGGGTCATGCAAGGATCTAGGGGTCAGGGTCATACAAGGGACGGGAGAACCTACTAAGCTGACATGGAATCTGTGGGAACATCTGAGCTGAGGCAGTAGATCTGGTCCACCTACTCAGCACATACACCCCGTTTACTATGTTATTATCAGTATTATTATTATTTCTGTTGCACTGGTAGGACCGGTGGAAAGTTCCAGGGCTGTGGGTGTACGTCTGGTGACTTCCTTATCTGATACTGAAAGGCTGCGGAATACAGTCCAGGGGGGAGGATGAGTCTACAGTAGTCATTAGAAGCCATTGGCACCAGACTGCGGCTGTCCTGTCCTAACCCGCTCTGGAAGAACGACGCTGCACACTGGTTGTGTATAGGGAGCAGCAAACCTTTTTTTATTGTCTGCAGGTTTCAAAGAGGAAGTGAGCTCTGAAAGCGAGCAGAGGGCAAAGGTCTAGTCTTCAGTATTGTCTGTGGTCTCATGGCAGCTGATCCTTTCCCCATCACTGACTCACAATTCCTTGTGTTGGTGTAAAGGCGGCCATCTTGGTAGAGGCAGGGCTGTGCTTCCTCATGTCAGAGCAGCCTTCTCTAGCCTCCTGTAATGATCAAGAAGTGGAGGAAGCTCAGATCGCAGAATAAATGAGGCAGAAGCAGGGGTTTTCTTGCACTGCAGGTCTTCTGGTGCAGCTTCCTCTCTGGCAAAGGAGAACAGCGAGCAGCACAGTAGTCGCATCACCACCAAATCTCCTGAGACCAGCAGTGCCCTAGATCTTTCACTGCAGATATACACGATAAGGCTCAAGTTACCCTCACATACTATTATTATACAGGATTTATATAGCGCCAACAGTTTGCACAGCGCTTTACAACGTAAGGAAGACATTACAATCACAATACAATTCAAGACAAGATGGTAAGGAGGGCCCTGCCCCTGGGGGCTTACAATCTAAAAGGGAGGGGCCAGTAATACATGAGGAGGGAGCTGTGTGGGGATAAATTGTCTGAGAACGTGATGGTTCAGTGGTTAGGTTGAGGTGGGATCGGCTTCCCTGAAGAGATGAGTCTTTAGGGAACGCCCAAAGGCAGTCAAGGTGGGAGATAGACGGACAGGTTGGGGTAAAGAGTTCCCGAGGATGGAGGAGACTCTAGATGAAGTCCTGGAGGCGAGTATGGGAGGAGTTGACTATGCGCTACATGGCTATTCAGGAGACATTCCAGACAACAGGCAGGCTTTTAGGGTACGGATTGGGCATAATTAAAATCAAATTTGAGTTCCGGTCGACTTTAAAGGCATTTTCAGAAAGAGATTTCTCTCAGTGGAGTAGTGGTTAGCACTGGGGGGTCCCTGGTGCAAATCCCAGTCAGGACACCATCTGCATGGAGTTTGCATGTTCTCCCTGTGCTTGTGTTGTTTCCTCCCACACACCAATTTATCCCGGTCCGTGCCCTCGAGGAGCTTACAATCCTAAAGTCTCCATCTCAAAAGTATATGAGGCCGATTTTTAGACTGGAGCCAATTACCCTTCCAGAGTGTCTTTGGAGCGTGGAAGGAAACCGGAGTACCCGGAGGAAACCCACACAGCACAGGAAGGACATGCAAACTCCTTGCAGTGTCCTGACTGGTATTTGAACCGGGGACCCCCAGTGCTGCAAGGCAGAAGTGCTGAATTTCTCTAAAGAGACTGTTGCGTGTCATTACTTGATGGACTAATGTCTTTATTCAACCTCAAATACTATATACTATGTAACTATCAGTGGCTATGAGCGTGGTTGTAAGTCATTGCCAGGCAGGGATCTCTGTGTCTGATGCATGTGTGTGTCTCCCTCCAGTGGCAGCCAGCAGTAATGCACGAGACGGTGAGTGTTGTAAGAGGTAACAGTGACTGGTTTAGCTAACCTGTAACTGATAACGAGAGCCGTATGTGTGGCCCGTGAAGCCCGCGTGTCAGTCGGACTAGGGGTGTCCACGGCAAGGTTTCGCACAAGCCTGTAAGTTGTGGTTGTTGGGCAGCTTATTCATCAGGTTCATTTGTGTGTGCATCTATGGCCTCTACTGTCACGTCTGCGGCCCAGGGGGACACTTTTGGGGGTTCTCGTGACGGTCTGCCAGCACGCTGGCTGAATTTCTGAGGACGAGCAGCGGACAGCGACCGCTCGCACAACATCCGGAGAAGCTCCCCCGGTCTTCCGTACATTACATCTTGCCATCTTTTTCATGCAGAAGAATAGAATGCATAGATGAAATGGCAGATAAAACCGTTCTCATATACGTTTGGGTTGATTGGGATGCCTGTGTGGCGTTCAGATTGAACCTCTTCCCACCAGCCGTACACATGTATATGGTAGCATGGCGGCAGTCTTTAGCCGGCATCGCTGTTGTGCTGAGAGCGAGGTCACTTGGCATCTCCATCTCTGTGACCACACTGTCACTAATAGCTCCCGGTCACTGTTGACGATCAGGAGCTGGTGGGATGGGCTCCTGATCACATGATCTCAGGGATCACATGATCTGGACGCCCATCTAATGCCTTCAGCGTTCCACATTCTCAAAGTGTCAGCTTCCGCCGGTTGGACAGGGTTACATATTCCGTCTGGTTTTGGCTTGCATCATATTCTTCCTGTGGTATTTGATCCGGATACTTCATCTCTTCTCTTTTGTCTCTGCAGTGAAAGAATTCTTAGCCAAAGCAAAGGAGGACTTTTTGAAGAAATGGGAAAACCCAGCACAGGTAACACGTCTACAGCTGCGTAACCACACGTGTGAGATCACATGCAACATACACGGGGACCAGGATCATGATAAAATACAATGTTGTAATATGGTTCAGATCAGGGGTTGGCACTGCAGCTGTGCAGAAACAACAAATCCCATCATGCCTTTGCCTCTGGGAGTCATGCCTGTGGCTGTCAGTCTTGCAATGCCTCATGGGACTTGTGGTTTCACCACAGCTGGAGTGCCGAGGTTGCCTATCTGTGGTTCACATTGTCCGCTTGGCTTTGTATTGATAGAGACCCACACTGAAGTGTCACCTGTGTTATCATTCTCATGTTTTCAGCTTGGTAATACAGAAAGCATATTTTATAGGACCGTTTAGTTCCTAAAGGAGAATTATGAGGCGAGTTATTTTCACTGAGCCTCATAATCTGAGCCGACCTGTGACAATGAGACTGTCACAGGTCGGCTCAGTAGATCGGGAAGTGAGCGAACATATACCGGCGTTCGCTCACTTCTCGATCCTGTCACTGCAGAGAGAGGTGACTGTCACTCACGGCTCCCCGCAGGGATTCCCCCCCTCCCCGATCCGATCCTTCAGCGCTGACTGGCGGAACGGACGGGGGAGGGGGCAGGTACAGCCTCTAGATAGGCAGAGCCAGCTGTCACTCACGCAGCTGGGTGGATCCAGACATAACTGTCGTGATCCGTCCAGGCTGCGGCGTGTCAGTATACCGCGAGCTGCACCTCTCTATATACTGAGCTTTGGGTGGCCGGAGGACGCTAGTTTGTGTCCTCCCGTGACCCTTAGGAGAACTATGGGGAAAAACACTGACCCCATAGTTCTCCTTTAAAGGCAAACTCTGGACACAATAAACTTGTGTTAAGGCAGGTGAGGTCTCCGGTGCCTCGGAGGTCTTCATTCATGAGGAACGCTTTGTTCTACATCTGGCAGAACTTCTGATTTGTGTCCCGGAGTTGTCACCGCTTCCGCTGGGCCTTCAGACAACTCAGATGTAAGTGATGCAGGTCTGATAGTCCCCAGGGCTATAGTCGTGTCTCCGACCCGGGCTCTGTGTTATAAATGATCAGGAGGGGGCAGAGACATGACTAGCACTGGGGTATATAAGACCTGCGGCACTTGTATCCATCTTGTCTTGAATTGTATTGCGATTGTAATGTCTTCCTTGTATTGTAAAGCGCTGCGCAAACTGTTGGCGCTATATAAATCCTGTATAATAATGAATGTCAGAGACTTCATACACATTAGAGGAGGCTGTTAGAGACTGTAGACATACAACAGGTGTAGTCAGGGCCTTCCCTAAAATAAGGCAGTCTGAGGCTCTTGCCTCAGGCGGCATCACTTTGGGTCATATGGGAGGGGGTGGCAGTGTGCCCGCTGGCCCTTCTCCGGCCTGAGCGTCTCAGGTTGCTAAAGAGCTCTTGGTAACCTAAGACGCTCTGGCCAGCCTCCCGCCCAGCTCCTGGAAACCAGTGACGTCAGTGAGCAGGGCGGGACGGGTGTAACGTGCACCAAGTAATGTGCGACAACTACACACGCCCCTTCTGCCCCCCAGTAAGATACGCCCTCTTCCGCGGTCTCCGGCAGCATAAAGTCTAGGTACACCCCTGGGTGGCACACTCCGAGACTGACCACATGCTACATGAGACTATTAGAGATCATCGTCATTACAACTTCTAGGCTGCTAGGGTCTGCCAAGGGCCACACAGCATGTGCAAAAGGGCCTTAGGTTGGGTACGAGGGCCTTGGTGCCTGACTTGTACCCTGAGGGCCTACATATGGTCCTTTCCCAGTTATCATGCAGCCCTCAGGCAAAAGTGAGTTCTCTTTTTATGGATCAGCTCTGTGATGGATCTTGGCAAGAAGAAAATATCATATTTGGTCATGTTAAGTGCGCAGTAGGGAATCATTCCTTTGTAAAGGGACCATAATGGCCGTGATATCTAGCTGTCATGTAGAAGGTGCCCGGCCTCCTGCAGCATGCCCTCGCTCTCCAACCCATCCCTGTAGTATGCTGCGGTCAGGACTCGGCTGAAATTGAAGCAATGTACGGCGGCCTTTACTCTGATTTCACTGCACAATGTGAGCGTACGTGTATTTGGAGCAGGCCAAGGTGGCTTCTGATTGGTTGCGTCAGATGCAGCACTTGGAGCTTTAGGGTTTTATTGCGTAATGTGAAATGTGTAGGCTCTCAATGTACTGTACAGGCTCCCACGGTACCTTACAACACAGCCAGCATTTCCCACACCCTCAGTTTGCAGTCTTAGTCACCCTTGTCTGTTCTTCTTCTTCTTCTTTAGAACACGGCTCATTTGGACCAGTTTGAACGCATTAAGACTCTGGGCACCGGCTCGTTTGGACGAGTGATGCTCGTCAGACATAAGGAGAATGGGAATCACTATGCGATGAAGATCCTGGACAAGCAGAAGGTACGGTCATTTACATTCATGTGATATCGTGTATTTGAAGGGAATGTGTAGTGTTTGTGCGTTTATTATATACTGGGCCTCTCTTTTTCCTCTGCCAACATCCCCCCCCCCCCCACCCCGAGAGTATATCTCTAGAGGACGCCGAGGGTCTGCCCACAACCCAACGCTCCGGGTTGTGGGCAGACCCTCGGTGTCCTCTAGGGCTATGCCGATACCGAGTATTTCAGCTCGTACTCGCCCAAATGCTCCGATACTTACCCCCGATACCAGAACTTCCGGTCAGAGGAACGTGGCAATACGGGAACACGGAGCCGGCTTCCCGGGCAAACTGGAAGCCGGCCGGAGGCTAACGACTCACCGCCTGGCTTCCTGATTGGCAGGGAAGCCGGCTTCCCGGCCAATCGGCACGAGGCCAGCTTCCTTGCCAATCGTCATCAAGCCGGCCAAACAGCATGGAGTCGGCTTCCTGGGCGATGAAGAAACCGGGCGGCAGGTAATGACTAGCCGCCCAGTTCCCTGATTGCATGGGAAGCTTGCTCCTTGCTAGCTGAAGTACCGGTATCCGTACTCGGTGAGATTAACATCGGTACTCGTACCCGATACCGAAAAACTGCTATCAGTGCATCCCTAGCGTCCTCACTTGCAATGCAGAACTGCTGGTCCTGTATTGTACATGATGAGGTCAGAGCGTGACAGGCACACGGGGTGCTGAAGAGGAGCGGCTTTGGAGGATTGATCGCAGCGTGAGGAGGGAGAAGGTAAGTAAAGATGCTTTTTAATAGTACCCTAGACAAAAGATGAGCATTTAACCCTTTGCTTTTTCTGGGGGCCCCCCGGTGCCGGGGGTGTGTCAATTTCCCCGGAGTTCAGTTTGAAAGTTCACTCACAGATCTAGAATACGGAGCAGTGACGGCTCCCCTTCTGTTGTGCTAGTTAGCTATACCCGTAGTTCTCTGGGGATCCTTTGTAGTGCAGTGACAGATCTCATACACGATCATATACTTGGGTTATATGAAGCAGTTTTTTATTGTGTTCAACTTCTTCTTCTACAAAAGTTCCTCCAAGAACCGGATTCGATAATTCATCCCTCCAGCTCTTCTTTGAATGACATTGACTGTTAAAGTTTCCCGTAGTGGTGAGATGACAGTCTCTGATCGGTCTCTGTTGATTACTGGTCTCGTGTCTGTGGGTAAGGCAAAGCTAAAAAAAAAACAAACACTTTCTGGGGATTGGTTAGTAAAGCTCTCCTGCTCCTCCTGGGATGGGCCCTGCACGATTCAGTTCCTCCCCTTCATAGGAATAAAGACACACCCCCCCTAGTATAACCAGGTTTTTGTACAATTGTGCTGGCATGTCTTACCTTCCTCTTCAATCTGTGGGCACCCCCAAATATGACCCTCTGCTTGGTCTCCAGGTGGTGAAATTGAAGCAGATCGAGCACACGCTGAATGAGAAGCGGATCCTACAGGCTGTTAATTTCCCTTTTCTTGTTCGCTTGGACTATTCATTCAAGGTAACGAATGTGCTGAATGTATGTATGTTCATCTCTTCTGCCATTTCCCTCAAATCTGTTTGTTTTGTATCATTTTATTTACATGACTTTGTTTCTCCTGCAGTATCTCTCTATATTATTACCTCCATTCCTCACCACCTCCTGTGTCTAGTCCAGCACAATGTTATCACCACTCTGCTGTATGTGTCCAGTCCCTATATAGTCCTAGTCCTCACTGCCTACAAATAGTGATCACTGGGCTGCTGTGTGTGTCCTTGTCTCTATACCGGCCTTTCTCAACCACGGATGCCATGGTGCCCTGAGGTGCCTTTTGGCTTCCTCAAGGGTGCCTCAAAATTTTGTAAATGAGGACGGTGATGTGGGCTTCCGATGTGAAGGGAGAAATCCGATATGAAAGTGGGGCTCCTGATGTGTAGGGGGAACCATGATATGAAAGTGGGGCTCCTGATGTGAAGGGGGAACTGTGACGGACCTCCGTACTCAGGATGAGTATGTCCACCGCTGTCTTCTTCCTTGCTGAGGAGATATTGGAACCTGAAGATCCTTAGCTCCCAGTTTCCCCAGTCACTAGCCAAGGCTTGAGTGTAGGGTAAACAAACTCTGCTTTATTGAGAAACTGCACAAACTTTTATACAGAAAGTGATGAAATCAGAATATAATCCCATCACATCCCCCCTCCCCTCCCAGACCATCGGTCTGCTCAACACCACAGGTGTCCACCTGCTAACGAGCTCCAGACGGCCATAGCAGGAGCCTGGCCAGAATGTCATTGTTCTGAGCTCCCTCAGAGTACAATGGGAGATAACGAGGGATGGTGCTGATGGTCTTTCCATAACCAGGTCACACAGCATAACGCACTCAAACATAACCCAACCCCAATACACATTTAACTTATAAACTGATCACCATGTCGTCACAGGAACCATGATCTGAAAGTGGGGCTCCCGATGTGTCGGGGGAACCATGATCTGAAAGTGGGTCTCTTGATGTGAAGGGGGAACCATGATATGAAAGTGGGGCTCCCGATGTGTCGGGGGAACCATGGTATGAAAGTGGGGCTCCTGATGTGAAGGGGGAACAATGATATGAAAGTGGGGCTCCCGATGTGTAGGGGGAACCATGATATGAATGTGGGGTTCCTCATGTGTAAGTGGAACCATGATATGAAAGTGGGGTTCCTCATGTGTAAGTGGAACCATGGTATGAAAGTGGGGCTCCTGATGTGTAGGGGGAACCATGATATGAAAGTGGGGCTCCTGATGTGAAGGGGGAACCATGATATGAAAGTGGGGCTCCCGATGTGTCGGGGGAACCATGATATGAAAGTGGGGCTCCCGATGTGTCGGGGGAACCATGATATGAAAGTGGGGCTCCCGATGTGTAGGGGGAACTGTGATCTGAAAGTGGGGCTCCTGATATAATGGGGGGGACTCTGATATGAAGCTTGTAATGTGAAGGGGGGGCTCTGATCTGAAAGAGAGGGACTTTAATGTACCCCCTTCAAATCCATTAAATTTTAGACTGGGGTGCCTGAAGTTTTTGCCTAGTTTTAAAGGGTGCCGTGACTGAAGAAAGGTTGAGAAATGCTGATCTGTCTATACTATCATAGTCCTCCCCAGTCTTCCTCAGTACCTCCTCGCCTCTCTGCCAGTGCACAGTATGTCCTCCCTCTATACCAGAGGTGGGTAACTGCGGCCCCCCAGCTCTTCTTTCATTACAATCCCAACATCATCTGGGAGCTATACCTGTAACTGTCAGTCTTGCAATGCCTCATGGGACTTCTAGTTCCACAACAGCTGGAGGGCCGGAGTCGCTGCCCCGGCTTTATACTATCACTGCGTTACAGTCTGCCTCACTACATCCTACCTCTGACTCCATCATCATCATCATGTCTAGCCTAGTCCACAGTCTCCTGCCTCTCTGATATCTCCGGCCTCCCCATCGTCTTGTTTTCCAGGACAACACTAACCTGTACATGGTTATGGAATATGTAGCAGGGGGCGAGATGTTTTCTCACTTGCGCCGGATCGGACGCTTCAGGTATTGTTGCGTTGTTGATATTCAGAAGATGGAGGGTGTATTGTTGTCCATGTGTCGGTGACATCTTTTCTTTCCCTGCACAGTGAACCTCACGCCCGATTCTATGCATCTCAGATTGTATTAACCTTCGAGTACCTGCACTCCTTGGATCTAATCTATAGAGACCTGAAGCCAGAAAACCTGCTCATAGACCAGCAAGGTTACATACAGGTATTGTTCAGCCACGCGCCGATTACATGTACCCGCTGCATTGTATGTTCCACCAATGTATCTCCTATAGGGGGGCCTCTATTCTACTTGTACATGAGTCCAGCATCTGAGTATAAAATGATCAAAGTTCCTCAGCGAGCAGAATCCAGGGTTCCATGTTATCACTCCCAAGCGGAGTATTTTACCTTTGTTTAGTGGCAGAGACACAGAACTGCTCATATTATCTTCCAAGGGATGCAGTGGGTGGATTCCAAGGCTGCTGAAAGTAAAAAGGGCCCATTGCAGGGCAATTCATTGTGTACACTTTCATTTGCCTCCTGTGATGTTCAATACAAAATGTCACTTTTGTATTGTCAAGGGGTAGGCAATCTTGGACCTCCCAGCTGTGGTGAAAATACAGATCCCATCATGCCTCTGGGAGTTGTGCCTTTTGGCTGTCAATCTTGCAATGCCTCATGGGACTTGTAGTTCCACAACAGCTGGAGTGCTGAGGTTGCCTACCTCTGGTGTAAGCTGACAGAAGCTGGAATTCTCCTTTTAAGTTAATATTAAACTCTCGATCACCAAATAATGTCTCCACGTATGTTAATTTGCCATGCACATAAATGCCATTCATTCCTATTAAAGCCGATTGTACGAGTGTTTATTACCTTTTTTTTTAATTGGTTGGGCGGCGTGCCGGTGGACAGAGAGGTTGGCGAGGCGTGCTGGTGGACAGAGGGGTTGGCTGCGTGCCGGTGGACAGAGGGGTTGGCTGCGTGCCGGTGGACAGAGGGGTTGGCTGCGTGCCGGTGGACAGAGGGGTTGGCTGCGTGCCGGTGGACAGAGGGGTTGGCTGCGTGCCGGTGGACAGAGGGGTTGGCTGCGTGCCGGTGGACAGAGGGGTTGGCTGCGTGCCGGCAAATATAAAAACTGCTCTTCATTCCGGATATTTCCATGGAGCCAATTCTAGTGCTGTATTTGGGAAGCGTTGGGCTAAGGGTGCCCACACACCTTAAGATAATCGGGGGAAATCCCGCGATCCTACGATTATCGTAAGGTGTGTGGAAGCCGTGCAACCTCTACTACTGTAAGGTCGCACGACTTTTATCTTGGCAACATGTTCGAATACCCGCCGAGCATCGTACGATGTTCGGCGGGTGTGTTGCATGTTTACAAGATAAAAGCCGGACGGGCCGGTGTGCGCAAGCGCACACTGCCCGTTTGGCATTGCGGTCATCGGAAGCCCGCCCCTTGGGGGCGCGGCTTGCGATCATCGCAAGTACAATCTGCCTGTCCAAGATGGGCAGATCGTACTTTTTTTTTTAATTGCCTTACAACCATCGCAAGACAAAAGTCTTGCGATGGTTGTAAGGTGTGTGCCCAGCATAAGGCAAAGCTGAGGTCTGATGGGTGTTGTGTCGACATGGTGCCTGTAGATGGTGCTGTTGTCTGCTAAAGGTCTGTTTACATTACTGCCAGCAGCTCACACTGCCATCTACAGGTTAGATACAGTAATTACAGTTTTGCAATTTCCCGGCTGTCCTATGCATATGAGGGGCTGATTTAAGCAGCTATGTTGAAGAGGAAAGGGAGGCATCTCAACACCTGCTGTAGCGGACATCTGCCCATCTGCAGCCAGCGTTGGTTGTCGAAGAAATACATGTCAGATCTCAGCTGACTACTTACCATTTGTGTTCCTTTCTTCTAGGTGACAGATTTTGGTTTTGCCAAGAGAGTCAAGGGAAGAACTTGGACTCTGTGTGGGACCCCGGAGTACCTGGCTCCTGAAATCATTCTCAGCAAGGTGAGATTATTATATATAATATAACAGAGGTCTTCTGTGTGATTTCTCTGTGCACAGACTTTGTGCCTGCATGGCGGCAGTAATTGTGGCTGCGCCATGCATGGGACCTGTGCAGTTCTACTCCGTAATGATAAACGGCATATGGGGAATTATTTCCACAAGAAATCTCCATAACGGGAAAGGGCGCATGCAGAATACATACCAGGAATCTGTGTTTACGTAACACTGTTTTGCGAGTTAACAACCTGCAACAGCAGATCTACTGGGAATGTACATTGATCAGCCACAACATGGAGACCACTGAGAGGTGACGTGAATAACATTGATTATCTGGTTACAATGGCACCTAGAAGTTGGGGGGATGCACTACGGGAAGAAGACAAGCCGGCGGAGGCAGTGTGATGCATTGGCCAATGTTCTGCTTGGAAACCTCGGGTCCTGACATACATGTGGATGTGACACGTACCACCGACCTAAACATTGTTGCTGACCAAGTACACCCCTTCATGGAAATGGTATTCCCTGATAGCAGTGGCCTCTTTCAGCAGGATAATGCGCCCTGCCACACTGCAAAAATGGTTTGGGGAACACAACAATGAGTTTGAGGTAATGACTTGGCCTCCAAATTCTCCAGATCTCCATCCAATCGATCATCTGTGGGATGTGCTGGAAAAATAAGTCTGATCCATGGAGGCCGATCACCTCACAACTTACAGGACGTCAGACTTACTAACACTGACGGCTTGGTGCCAGATACCACAGCACACCTTCAGAGGTCTAGTGGAGTCCATGCCTGAGGGGTCAGGAAAAGGGAGACCTGCTCATTATTAAGAGGGTGGTCATAATGTTATGGTTGATCAGTGTATATGCTTCTGTCATTGCTCTCCTGCAGGAGCACATGTGTGCACTCCCATGGGCACATGTGCTATGGAAGTTGTGGAGGAGGTCATGTTTTAAACTAGTTTGTGGTGTTTGCAGGTCTCATTAGGATGGATGTTTTTTTTATTTGATGATCTGGATCTAGTGTTGATGGACGTTGAAGGATTGTAATTCAATGTCAGACTCGTGTCTCTCATCCTACACACACAATATTGGCAGATGAGTCTGAAGCTCATTTACCCAGCAGGGAACCCATACAAATCTGGGGAACATGTAAAATTAGGCTGTATAGGTCGGCTTTTCTCAAGGAGGAATCCTTGAAATCACTTTCAGGTCTCGGGGAACCTCTGCTAATAAAATATCTTCAGAAATAATAATGACATTTATAAATGATATAACAGTGATAATGGTCAGAAAAGCAAACAGAGAAAATTGTAGTGTTCCCCCATATTGGTGGCCAGTATAGTCCTCCCTGTCATTGGAGAAAGGCTCCAATACATTGGCGGTCATTGGGAGGAGCGCCCCATTACATTGGCGGTCATTGGGTGGAGGGCTCCATTACATTGGCGGTCATTGGGTGGAGGGCTCCATTACATTGGCGGTCATTGGGAGGAGGGCTCCATTACATTGGTGGTCATTGGAGAAACACTCCATTTAATGATGGTCATTGGGAGGAGGGCTCCATTACATTTGCGGTCTTTGTGAGGAGGGTTCGAGTTAATGATGGTCATTGGGAGGAGGGCTCCATTTAATGATGGTCATTCGGAGGAAGGCTCCATTACATTGGTGGTCATTGGGAGGAGGGCTCCATTACTTTGGGGGTCATTGGGTGGCGGGCTCCATTACATTGGGGGTCATTGGGAGGCGGGCTCCATTACTTTGGGGGTCATTGGGTGGCGGACTCCATTACATTGGGGTTCATTGGGTGGCGGGCTCCATTACATTGGGGGTTATTGGGAGTAGGGCTCCATTACATTGGCGCTCATTGGGAGGAGGGCCCCCATTATTTTGGCGCTCATTGGGAGGAGGACCCCCATTACATTGGCGCTCATTGGGAGGAGGGCCCCTTCACACTGGTGCTCAGTTGGAAGAATTCCCCTTACGGGTGGCTAACAAGCTGATTCTAGTCAGTATTTGCTGATCTGAGAGGCAGAAATTGTTTATTGTTCATGGGCCCCCCAGCAGCCTCTGCAGGAACTCTGGGTTCCACAATAGCCTGGTTGAGGAAGGTTGGTATAGGCCGGTAATGAGGATCGAGCTCAGGATTCCAGCTTTGCAATGCTCCTGCTTTTATAACGGCACGCTTTCTCTCTTCTGTTTCCTAGGGGTACAATAAAGCCGTGGACTGGTGGGCGCTCGGTGTCTTGATTTATGAGATGGCTGCAGGTTACCCTCCATTCTTTGCAGATCAGCCGATTCAGATCTATGAAAAGATTGTATCTGGGAAGGTACGTGACTCATGTTGGGTTTTCTTGACCTCCAGGCAGACAGCGAAATAGATAAAATACACGTATGGGAGATGTTTTCCCTGTCAAAGGATTTGTATCTCTGTCTTTCCAGTTCTGAGCTTTAACCAGCTCTGCCACATAATACAGCCAGGTACATGACGCAGATTACAGTTACAGAATATCCAAACTGAACCAAATATGTAATATATTGCAGCTTTCCAGTCCTTGGATCAGGGGTAGCCAAAATCCGGCCCTCCAGCTGTGGCGAAACTACAAATCCCATGAAGCATCTCTCTCCGGGAGTCATGTCTGTGGCTGTGAGAATCTTGCCATGCCTCATGGGATTTGTAGTTCCACCACAGCTGGAGGGCTGGAGTTTGGCTACCCCTGCTCTAGATGGTGTAACTGCTTTAGCTTCAGGTTAAGTACATTAACTGACTGCACCATGATAGAGCAGCAGCAGAACGAGGAGGTCATCCCTCTGCTCACTCTGTCCTATTACCCTATCATGGTTCTTGGCAATACAGTTGCATGCAGCACAGCTGATTGGCTTCCAGTTTTAGCACCAGTGCGTTTGCAGGTATATGTGTATTACGCACAGAATATTTGGGTAACCCATTCATTTCAATGGACCGCCCGGGCTGCAACAAGTGCACCAAAGAGGTGCATGAAACAGGCCACTCCAGAACACATGGGGGAAACTTACTAAAGAATCTGAAGCAGCTGCGCATGGTCACCAATCTGCTTCTATATTCCCCTCATGGTTTTTTTATAATGTGCGTTGGCACACTACAACACACTTTCTTTGACAGGAGCGCATGGGGTGCCTTAAGTTTAAATGGCACTGCGCCTGCATTCCTTCAGTGCACAGGTGTAAACAGGAAGTGCTGCAGTTTAGGGGATCACAAGAGACTGATACCAGGTCACATTCAGGTACTTGCACTGGTTGCATTTAAAAGAGAACTATGGGGTCAGTGTTTTTCCCCATAGTTCTCCTTAGGGTAACGGGAGGACACAAACTAGCGTCCTCCCATCACCCTAGGCTCAGTATATAGGGAGCTACAGCTCGCGGTATACTGAGACGCCGGAGCGGATCCCGACATGTCGAGATCCGCCCAGCTGCGTGAGTGACAGCTGGGTCTGCCTCTAGATAGGCGCCCCCTCCCCCGTCCGTTCCGCCAGTCAGCACTGGGGGAGGGGGGAATCCAGCCCCTGTCACGGCAGAGAGGCGTGACAGGATCGAGAGGTGAGCGAACGCCGGTATGTGTTCGCTCACCTCCCGATCTACTGAGCCGACCTGTGACAGTCTCATTGCCACAGGTCGGCTAGAACTATGATGTGAGGGAAAAGCACTTACCTCATAGTTCTCCTTTTAAAAAAAATTTAATGATTCCTTAGTGGATAACACGAAATCACCTGCACTCCATACAGGGTACAGACATTGGATGAAAGGTTGGTGCTTGAAGTGACAACACGGATGGCGCCATGTCAGATACAGTAAATAATAGAAGTCACCAGCACTCGATGTGTGCAAGAGATAAAGCACTTTTTATTAAATTGTCACATGCGTAATGCAGCCAACGTTTCAAGGTCACTGTGTCGTCCAGAAGAAGGGACCCTGCGTGGCCCCGAAACGTTGGCTGTATGACGCATGTGACAATTTAATAAAAAGTGCTTATACTTCTTGCACACATAATCGAGTGCTGGGGACTTGTATTATGGAATGATTCATTAGTGAACGTGCAGCTGCGTTCATTTCTAGATCTGCCTGGAGTTCAGCTTAAATCGTATCTACTCCAATGTGTCCCGCGTTTCCCTTACCGCACTCTTACTTCCGCAGGTACGCTTCCCTTCCCACTTCAGCTCTGACCTGAAGGATCTCCTCAGAAACCTTTTGCAGGTTGACCTTACCAAACGATTTGGGAATCTGAAGAATGGGGTGAACGACATCAAGGGCCATAAATGGTTCAGCACCACGGACTGGATTGCAGTCTATCAAAAGAAGGTACGTGGCAACAGACAGTGAAATTCGGAGAACTTGGAGTATGAAGTGGAAAGCTAAAGGATGAGTTTGTTTAAAAAGGTTTCCTGTAACTGGCCTCTAGCTACACTATATTGCCAGAAGTATTGGGACGCCTTTACACGCACATGAACTTTAATGGCATCCCAGGCTCAGTCCATAGGGTTCAGTATTGGGTTGGCTCCGCCCCTTTGCTGCTATAACAGCTTCAACTCTTCTGGGAAGGCGTCCACAAGGTTTAGGAGTGTGTCTATGGGAATGTTGGACCATTTGTGAGGTCAGGTACTGATGTTGGGGGAGGGGCTCGCAGTCTCCGCTCTAATTCATCCCAAAGGTGTTCTATGGGGTTGAGGTCAGGACTCTGTGCGGCCAGTCAAGTTCCTCCACCCCAAACTCCCCCATCCGTGTCTTTATGGACCTTGCTTTGTGCACTGGTGCGCAGTCATGTTGGAACAGGAAGGGGCCGTCCCTAAACTCTTCCCACAAAGTTGGGAGCATGAAATTGTCCAAAATGTCTTGGTGTGCTGATGCCTTAAGAGTTCCCTTCACTGGAACTAAGGGGCCAAGCCCAACCCCTGAAAAACAACCCCACACCATAATCCCCCCTCCACCAAACTTTACACTTGGCACAATGCAGTCAGGCAAGTACCGTTCTCCTGGCAACCGCCAAACCCAGACACGTCCATCGGATTGCCAGACAGAGAAGCGTGATTGGTCACTCCAGAGAACACGTCTCCACTTCTCTAGAGTCCAGTGGCGGCGTGCTTTACACCACGGCATCCCACGCTTTGCATTGCACTTGGTGATGTAAGGCTTGGATGCAGCTGCTCGGCCATGGAAACCCATTCCATGAAGCTCTCTACGCACTGTTGTTGTGCCAATCTGAAGGCCACACCAAGTTTGGAGGTCTGTAGCTATTGACTCTGCAGACAGTTGGCGACTTCTATGTGCTGACCCCGCTCTGTCATTTTACGTGGCCTACCACTTCCTGGCTGAGTTGCTGTTGCTTCCACTTTGTTATAACAGTAACAGGTGACCGCGGAATATTTAGTAGCAAGGAAATTTCATGGAACGCCTGCATTCAATGATTTGGAGGGGCGTCCCAATACTTTTGGCAATATAGTGTATGTTTTCCCTGTTACTAGCTGGGCCCTGTTCACAAGAACTTACACTCTATTATACCAAGTGAGAGAATTGTCATACCTGAAAACAGGTGTAAGGGATCTTTGACATTTGCCTCTTTGGTACACGTGTATGTAATATATTATATGACCAAAAGTTTGGACATCCCATTACAAAACCATGGACATTAATATGGAGTTGGCCTTCCTTGGCCGCTGTAGGTGCCTCCACTCTCCTGGGAAGGCTTTCCAAAAGCGGGACTGTGGGACTTTGTGGCCTTTCAGCCAAAAGAGCATTTGTGAGGTTGGCTAGTCATTTTGGGCAAGAAGACCTGGTCCGCAATTGATATTAAGGTTGACCACAAAGTTGTTTAGTAGGGTTGAGGTCATGACACTTGAGTTCCTCCACGCCAATCTCCTAAAACCATGTCTTTATGGAGCTGGCTTTGTATACAGGGGACAGTCATGGTGGAACAAAAAACGGCCTTCACCAAACTGGTACCACAAGGTTAAAAGCTCTCCATTGTTTAGAATGTCTCTGTATGTTTTAACATTTAACAGCACCCTTCAGTGAAAACCCCCTAACTCAATCGTTTTGGAGGCATTTCCTCATACAAATGGCCATATAGTAGGTGTGATGGTCAGGTGTCCACAAACGTTGGCCTTAGACTGTAGTATATTTTCCGTATTGGAAAATTGCTGATTCTGTGCAATCATCATTCATGATGCAGTTAAGGACAGTTCTGATAACTGCACCATGGGCTCCGTTGTCAAAGGATAACTCGTACCTGTGTCTAGAAGGCACATAAATGCTGCTGGGTAAGCTGAAGTGGATGACGAATACACATCGACCATCTTCCAGTGCACTGTCAGTAACACCAGCAACTAGTGTCATAGAGTTGCGCTGCTCGCCCATCGACTAGCCCCTTCCTGCCCCCTGCTCCATTCATAGAGCCCATGTTATTGTTATTCCACAATACATGGGGGGAATCTATCAAAACTGGAGCAGATGTGCTTCGCTCTTCAGTTCAGTTAAGATTTGAAAATGAGAGGGAGAAGCTGATTGGTTGGCATGCACATCTGTTCCAGTTTTTGTCGGCTCCAGTTTTCCCCCCATTGTGCACTGTGTATGGAGGAGGAGCGGATGCATGACATTATCTGCCCTGCCTGTTCACAGAGCACATTCCATTGTGGAATATTAGTACAAGCTCTGAATAGAGCAAGGGGGTCGGAAGGGGCGGTTGAGCAAGGGGGTCGGAAGGGGCGGTTGAGCAAGGTGGTCGGAAGGGGCGGTTGAGCTGCGAGCAGGGTGTGGGAAGGGACTGGCGAGCAGGGTGTGGGGAGGGACTGGGGAGCAGGGTGTGGGAAGGGACTTGCGAGCAGGGTGTGGGAAGGGACGGGCGAGCAGGGGGTGGGAAGGGACGGGCGAGCAGGGGGTGGGAAGGGACAGGGGAGCAGTGCAATGGTTAAACAATTCCGGTGCTTGCTGGGCGAGCTGCGCTGTATCTGGAGGGAGGAGGGCTTTGTTATGAAGCGGCAGCCTGGAGGAGCCTCCATCGCAAGTATCCAATGTCCTACAAAATCCTACAAAGCCAAACTTCAGCTTTAAACTAACATTGCTCACTGGGGCAAATTTGTGTAAGGGCAGGTTCACACCAATGTTCCGGCCAGATCTGGTCTAGATAATGGTGTGAACCTGCCCGCAGTTCCAGTGCATTCCAGACCAGACAAAATAAGACACGCAGTGTTTTTCTGGAACGGACTGCGCTGTGTGAACAGAGGCCAGAAATAGCATAGGGATACATTAGGATACATTTTGGGTCCAGAAACAATCTGGTAATGTGGAGTGAATGGGCCCTAAAAGTTTTTCCATGTTTTTAGTCTTTTTGTCATTTTTTAACACATTTTGTCTGCGTCTTAGGTGGAGGCGCCTTTCATACCCAAATGCAAAGGGCCAGGCGACACAAGTAATTTTGATGACTACGAAGAGGAAGAGATCAGAATCTCCATTACAGATAAATGCTCCAAAGAATTCTCCGAGTTCTGAAGAGCACGCTGGTAGCAGGAGCCATTACTCAAGACTTCCCGTGATCAAGTGAAGGCCGATGGAGAGAACGCCACTGACCGGCACACAAACTTCTCCTTCCCTTTTCACGCTCCCCACCTCTCTAGCTTTTTATTAGTGGTGCAGATTCAACTCGGAGGCCATCTTCTTTTATCCTGGATCTGGTGGTGCTGGTTTCGATTGGTCCTGGAAATAAACTCCATTCTCTGTCATCTGCCCCACCACATACC